CAAAAACACACACGCGCACACTGTGTTAGTGTTTACCAACTTCCCACTATTGAAAATGCGGGACCAGGGGTTGGGAGTAATGTTTCCCAACCTAAAGGCAACGGTCTCCTTTAGAGAAAATTTTTCAACCAGAGGTGCATGGACCCACAAAGTTGGATTAAATCAGTTTGGTATTTTTGAGCGATAGGAAATCATATGTTACGGGTTATCATTCAAGAATTTTATACGGTCAGTGCAAAATAAGTTTCATATGGTCAGTGCAAATTTTATACGCTCAGTGTAAAATACCAGTTCTGATAGGTTATAGGAGTGAAACAGAACTGTGTATGTGTTTTAGTAGATCTTTAAAAAGACAAAAGAAAAATTTACGCGTAATTTTAAAAAAGAATCATCGCTTCTTAAAATCGTCGGCCAAAAACGTTTTTTGTCCGGCAATTTTTGTCTTCCATTATCAAAACGAAGGACAATTCCATATTTTGTGCGACGGCTGATAATCCTAGACTAAGTGCATCGAACTCTCTCTCTCTCTCTCTCTTGTTTGTTCAACTCATTTTCCAGTCTCGATAGAGTTCAAAAGCATCTCCGCATCCTTGTGGGTGACGAATTATTTTCCACCCTGCAACCCCACCCCAACCTCACACAGACGACCTGTCGCAAGCCTTTCACTGCTGTATCGCGACTTCCATGGAAAGTGCTCAGACGATATGCTTTCCTTAGTTCCACCAGTCCCAACCTTCTCGGTTATGACCCGCCATACCACTCACATTGTTGCAAACCACCGACATTCCCTCCGTATTTCATCGGTGAGAAATAAGTTCCACTCGAACAGCTTTTTCCTGCGAACTACTTCCCTGTGGAACAGACTCCCAAGAGGATGTTCTCTTTATCACTACAATCTCAACATGTTCATGTGTAAGGTTAACCGTTACCTTCCCCACTCATCCGAATAAACTGTGCTCTGTAAACAGTGCGCATAAACTCTGTAACCCTCTACCTCAAGTGTCTCCCGGGCCTTGTACAAGAGGAACATCACTTTAAAAGAAAACACGAAAACATTTTTACATTGTTTGGACTGTTGTCCTCATCTTTATTGCCATATTCACGACGTTTCGGCTGTTGTACGATCCATCCTTCTTCAGGTGATATATGTTTATTCAGATTTACCCTTTATTTAGTTCATCTCAGAAATGATATAAAGACCAGGACAACAGTCCGAATAACGTAAATAGTGTAAATAGTTACTATACCTCATCTCAGAAATATAGACAAAAAACATCTGTCTCATTTTGTTCATCTATCTATCTATCTATCTATCTATCTATCTATCTATCTATCTATCTATCTATCTATCTATCTATCTACTTTTGGTTAATGTGGCTAGATTTGTTGAACATTACTACGGAGTAGTGAGTTCTATCCTCATTAGGTCTCCCATATTTTGTGGCTTCGTACCAATCTAAGATAAATTTACCAAATTATGTTTGTGTATCAGTCAAATCAAAGAAACTTCATTTCTGCAATACGTTTTGTTCAAATATCCCTGACTACACACACACACACACACACACACACATACTTCAAGACATGCGTATAACCATATGTGTATATATGTTTAGCTTGTCTTCACCTATGCGTACGTATCAATGTTTTTCAAGCCTATACCTCCCGCCCCCACATATCTCTCTCTCAGCTGATGTATAAATGCTTTCATTTTTACACATTGATACCAGATGTATTTCGTAAAGATAACATATTTTTCATTATTTTTTTTTTGTGAATTAAACAAATTTACCGAATATCTGCAAGAAAAAAGTTTAAGCCCGTAACTTACGCATTCAACACAAACAAAAAGTCGACCTTCTTCGCTACAATTTGACTTCATTTAAAACTTCTGTTGTTTAAGTATGAATAAGAAGAGATACATAAAGTTAACGCATCTATTTTTTTTTTACAATGATGTTCACCCTGTACAATGCCCAAGAGCCGCTCCAGGTAGAGGGTAACAGAGTAAGAGGCATAGTTTATGCGGATATGTGGGGAAGATAATGGTTAACCCGAAACTTGAACAGGTTAAGATTGTAATGATCGAGAAAGCATTCTCTCAGGAGTCGGTTAGACAAATTAGCAGTTCGTGGAAAGAAGCTGCTCGAATAGAACTTACATCTCAACAACGGTGTTGAGGGGGGTGGGGTAGCGTATGTTTGTATCAATGAGAGTTTAATAGTTCATAAGAGAAAAAGTAATGAAAAAAAAAGGAATGTACACACGAACACACATACACACACTCATACACACACTTTTTTAATAATTAATTTTAAGAAATCTTATATCATACCTGGTTGTACAGGTAACGTAACGCTTAGCGGCGCAAGAAGTGGAAGCAGTGAGTCGAGAACAAATTCCAGCTTAGAAATTTTCATTCACTTTCACACAACTTCAATTCCCCTCCAGCTATGTATTAAATAGCAGGGTAGACAAGGCTCTCCATTCCAGATCAAGGAAAGGGTTACTCCGAACACAAAATCGTGTAGAAGGAAACGGAAAATTACAACACTATCAAGAAATCACAGTAATTTCACAGATAATTAAGAAAAGGCATCTGTGGAGAGACGTCATCGCCTACGACTTGAAGTGACATAACATTTTTAAAAATATATTATATCCCTATGAATAGTAGTAATAATGATGAATATAATAAAACCCAGTAGTAATAATGATGAATATAATAAAAAAAATATTTTATAATTCTTTGTACTATATGTAAATGTGTATCTGCGTGTGTATGAAGTTCAGATATTTAGGTAGGCTATATAAAATGCGTGGAGGTTTATTGTTATAATAATAGGTGATAGGAGAGACTTATAGATAATTCATTTTATCGATTATTAATATTATTATTAATAGCGGAAAATGCCTTCTAGAAACTAAGCAGAAGTATTACGAGTCAGGAAAATGTCCTTAGACGCAGAGAAAATAGTGCTTAACTGCTCTTTAATATCTAATTTCCAATATAGTTATGAATGCCGGAAAATCTCCTCAAAAACGAAGAAGAGACTTGAAGCGACAGGGATGTAATTGAAACGACAAAGGCTAAAGGCGACAATGGACAGCGCATAAGAGTATCGAGCAAGTTCTAAGGAAAATAGAAAAAATACAAAAAAAAAAACAAAAACAAAAACAAACAAAAAACTGATATTTACAATCAAAAAAGGCTGAATTTTTTTTAAAGACATGAGGAAAGATGATTTGGAAAATTTAACACTCACAGGACTTGAAGTCAATAGAAGCAGAGAACAGTGATTATTTTTATTTAGTGTTTGAGTGAATGAATGATACAAAGATAAAGAGTCATGGTGAAGAGCTAAAAGTTATTTAGAACAAGAAAAGACAGGAAGTTGTGGAGAGTTTTAATCGCCCACGTCCTGAAATGGAAGAAGAGCATGACTATTGCTTTCATGCGTACAAACGACTCTTTAAAGGCGTGTACAGACCACAGTTATTAAATTTATTAAATTTGTTCATTTGACGGGATTGAGCGAGAAAGTGCAAAAAGTCACATACACATAGACAGGAAGTTATGGAGAGCTATAATCATTTATTCATTTAGAAAGTAAAAAAAGGTACATGCGTTTGAAATGTTCCAAATTTTATGCATTCACTTCTCAAGATTTTTACTTGTACAAAAAAGGATCTCTCTAAAATTGAACATTTTAAATTTGTTTCTTAGTATACAAATATGTATACGTGTGGGGGAGTGTAAAACATTAAAATATAAATAAAAATAAATTCGAATATATAAATAAAAATTGAACATATTTAAATTGATTTTCTCAGTGCGAATATACATACATACATGCATATATATATATATATATATATATATATATATATATATATATATATATATAAAAAAAAAAGAAAGAACAGTAAGATATATAATCCGATGTTCTTGTTGATATTTTTATTTTTACAAAACAGTGCTCAATGTAAAATTACAGAGCATGAATATGTGTAGCGAAGAAACCATTTATTAAATCAGTTAATTTATAATATATATATATATATATGTGTGTGTGCGTGTGTGTGTATTTGTGTGTATGCGTATGTGTGCATGTGCGTGCATACATGTGCAAAAAATTCAAATATGAATAAAAATTTAGTAGTAAAAAAACACAATATGAATGAAAACGAAAGGAATTATTTTTCTTTATCGGTGCGTTTATCAGAGGACGAAAGGCGTCGGTGAAGAAAAGTTTTCTTTTTGTCATTATATATATATATATATATAAGTATATATATATTGTGAATACTTACAATTCAAATTATAATTTATGTTAATGTTATTTCGTTGTTAATGAAAATTTAGAATTGAATAAAAAATTTATAATTAATTTTTTTATTAAGCTGTTTAATCAGTATCTATTAAATATAATTTTCTTTTTTGCCCTAAATCAAATCACCGTATTTACATTATTTTAACATATTTCCTATGTACAAATATCATTGATTAGTGCACAAATATATATTTAAAATTTGTTATATATATATATGTATATATATATATATATATATATATATATATATATATAATTTTAAATTATATGTATGTATATATATATATATATATATATATATATATATATATATATACTAATAATATAACAGAGAGCGCGTTTTTTACATCTCCCGACAGTGTGGACATAGGAACCAATGTAGATGTTGCAAGAAATACGATGTTTAGATTAAGGCCTGAAGAACGCTTTGAAATATGAAACTGACTGTCTCCATGTAGTGTTGATTCCTACACTATCTATCTATCTATCTATCTATCTATCTATCTATCTATCTATCTATCTATCTATTTATGTGCGTGTGTACAACTTGTTATGGAACAGAAGTTATATATAAAAAAATGTTAATGCGTATTTAGAAATTTTTCACACACACACACATACACACATATATATATATCTTTACATAGATATAACAGAGAGATATAATCAGTCTGAGATAGATAGATAGATAGATAGATAGATAGATAGATAGATAGATAGATAAAGAAAGAAAGAAAGAAAGAAAGAAAGAAAGAAAAAAGAAAGAAAGAAAGAAAAACGGACAAGGAGAAATAATTTTACATTTATGCATACACACCCTAACATTTTATATATAACATTTTGTATATGTTTCATACACGCAAACACACACACACACAGATAGATAGATAGATAGATAGATAGATAGATAGATAGATAGATAGATAGATAGATAGATAGATGTACGAAGAGACTGAAAGATAGCTAGCTGACTGAAATAGATAGATAGATAGATAGATAGATAGATAGATAGATAGATAGATAGATAGATGTAGAAGAGACTGAAAGATAGATGACTGAAATAGATAGATAGATAGATAGATAGATAGATAGATAGATAGATAGATAGATAGATAGATGTACGAAGAGACTGAAAGATAGATAGATAGATGAGATAGATAGATAGATAGATAGATAGATAGATAGATAGATAGATAGATAGATAGATGTACGAAGAGACTGAAAGATAGCTAGCTGACTGAAATAGATAGATAGATAGATAGATAGATAGATAGATAGATAGAGAGAGAGAGAGAGAGACAAAGACAGAGTGATGAACAGATACAAATCGTTTCTACCGTAAGTAAATCGTCGCAGTTTCTCCAAAAATTGTTCTCAACCGGGTTCTTCATTTGCATTATTTCTTGATGTCAGAAAAAATAGAAAGGAATTAATAATCATTTTATTTTATTTACGAAGTTTAACTTAACACAAATCCATTTGTGTGTGTCACCCAGAGAGGATCGAACACACTTCATCTCTACTAACCGACGCACCTTACCCCTTTTAAAATTCGGAAAATACACATTTTTGCCGGATTATTTTTTTCTGTCTGCCCGTCTGTCTCTCCTGCTCGCACTCGCTTTCTCTCTATCTGAAAAATTTACACACCCACACCTAATAAATTAAAGGGGAAAAATTTTAACAGAAATAATTAGAGAGGAAAAAAGAGATAAAGAGGAGGGAAAGAGCAAAAAAAAGTGAAAGAGTGACTTTTTTCTTTTTTTTTTTTATAATTCATACTTAATTTTTAATAAAGTCTAGTAGAGAAATGTAATCAACTTACTGGTTTTCCCCTGCGTTGTATCTGCTAAAAGTCCGTGGTCAGTCAATCTTATTACAAGTATGGTTAAATATATAAGCATTTTCCCAGGAAAAATAATCGGACATTGCATTCCTTGTCGCGTTCAACAGCCAACCACTGAGGGACGCTGAATATTCATTCCTTCTAAAAAAAAAAAAAAAGTAAACGATAAAAAAAAAAGAAAGAAAGAAAGAAAGAAAAAGAAAGAAAGCAAAACGCGCAAAAACTTTTGGGTGGCGGCTAATGCTGCTGCTGCTAGCAAAACCAACACTTTTTAGAACCAAACAATCCTTTTGTCTATATTTCCTTCTTCCTTAATGAACACTCCACCCTGTCACCTATTCTTTTTTTTTTTTTTTTTTTAATTCATCCGGTTTTATAAGTGCTCCCTACTCAGTCTTAATTCCCTTCCTTTCTTTTCTCTCTTCTTTTCATTTCACTTTTCTCTCTTCCTTTCACCATTTCTTTTTTAAACTTTGCGTCTGCTATTATTATAGTTTCTCTGTCTTCAAGTGCTATGTCGCTGCAAGACATAGTCGAACATGGCTCTCCACAAATGCTTTTCTCAAGTACCTGTAAACTATGCATTTTTGGGCGAAAAATTCCAGCCTCTTCCTTTCCAGACATGTCAATCGGTATCTTCTGTATTCTTAATTCTTGTTTTTTTAATTATCTTTTTAATTTGATAGTGTTTTTTTCTCAGTAACCCTTCGCGTCTTTATTGCCTTACTTGGGATAAAATGATTAAAAACAATTAAAGGTAATAGAACCGTTGGTATATAATCCAGGTGGATCCAAGTAATATTAGATATTAAACCTGATCCACAGAGTGCTCAATGTATTTACAATAACAGCGCATATATTTTATACAGCAAAAACTCCAAAATTAACTAGGGCTGAGGAAGACTGGCATATGTCAGTGCTGGTCTGAAATAGACTATACCCACATAAGGTAATTTGGGATTTTTTTGTATATATATATATATATATATATATATATATATATATATATATATATATATATATATATTATAATTATTTTTTTCAAATATGATTCCTTCGCTACATAAGAGTTCTCATGTTTCAAAAACAAGAGTCAAAAACCTCAATATGATTATTGAAATTAAATTGAATTAAAGTATCAAGCCCTGTTTCATCCTCAAACGAAAATTTAGGAATAACCAATCTTGAAATTTACGCATCTTTATAAGCATGTTCATTCGCAAAATTAATTACTATGGAAACGACCATTTTGGTAAAGAGCATACGAGTTAGTTTGTATCAAGATATCAGTCACCTTAGACAAAAATAATGAAAAATTATGTGATTGTAGAAAACCTGAAAACTGCCCGTTGGAAAATAAATGCCAAACAAAATCTATGGTATACCAATGCACTATCTCATGAATTGAGAGTCCTAACCTAAAGATGCGTAAATTTAAGCTCTACTTCTGTATGGAGCACTGTTTTGTTTTTTTTCAAAATAAAAACAAAACTACTAAAGAACCCCGGATTATTTACCTAACGCGTTCTTTTCTATTTTTCTACATATTTGCACGCACACACACACACACACACACACACACACACACACACACACACACACATATATACATGTGTATATATATATATATATATATAAGGCGGTTGCATGGAGAGTTGTTTGTGACCTTAGGTTTTACACTTTCTTTCAGATCGCGAATGCGTGAAACGTAAGCTCACAAACAACCGCATATGTTAGCTCTAGCACGGATATGGAGCACTTTCCATTAAATACCACACACACACACACACACACACACAACACACACACACACACACAACACACACACACGCACAAACACACACACATATATATATGTATATATATTTTTTTACATATTTCTTTTTTTGAGTATATAATAGTGATCTGTTTTATATTTCTTTAGGAGCATTTTAATATATTTAAAAATTAAACATTTCTGTTTTATTTACCATTTCCAGCACTGATTATCAAAATGGTTGACGTTTTTTAATAGTGTTCCGAAATATATATATATATATATATATATATATATATATATATATATATATTTGGTTGAATAGATGTGAGTTTGTGACCCTGGGTTTCACGCTTTAGCGATCGTCAGACAAACGTGAAACCCAGGGTCACAAACTCACATCTATCCAACCAAATATGTTAGCTCTGTCTCTGATATTGAGCGCTTTTCTAATAAGTACCGCGTATATAAATATATAAATAATTATACATATATATATTTATTTATATTTATATACACTATACATATATTTATATATATATATATATATATATATATATATATATATATATTATATATAACACTATTAAAAAACATCACACACACACACACACACACACACACACATATATATATATATATAAGAATGAGTGCGTAGGTCAAAAATTTGATCTAATCATCTCATATCTAGGTAATTATTTCTTAATGTGCTAGTACAAGGGTATACGAGGCACCTGAACCGTAAGTAAACTGGTATCATGATATGGTGATAGGTTTTCATAAAAACAACAAATAACCTTATAGATGGAGCACAGTTAGAGATACCTTCACTTCAGGTCGGCTAAGCCAGCCTGCCCAGACAGTCTCCGATTGAAGGTGTTCCGAAATATTTAACTTGGTTGTTTCCTTTTTCAAACTTATAAACAAAAAAAAAAAAAAAACTCTCGACAACAAGCCATCATGCTTCCCCACTACTCTCGCTCATGAACAGATATAAACGAGGTAATTAATGCATCGATAATGGATCACATTCAACAGCATTAGGTAATTTTCCTCTGGTTCTAAGTGTCCATTACTTCCACGGATTATTTATGCCAGTCTTAAAAGACTTCCTTTTTGCAATATTTCCACTGAGCAATCAATGTCGATCCATGTCCTTTTTCTGTTAGTCACTGTACCAAACACACCAATGACAATTAGTAAGATTCTGATCATCTTTAACATCAGAAGACCTGCGAGTTCAAATTTCAATGGTTCATAATTGATTACTTTCTCTTCTTTGCTTTTGTTCTGTCCTTAGATCAAAAGGAAACGAGGAATCGATGATTAACCCTGCTTTTTCCATATTATCTTCCACCATCCGGTTTGTATGCTCCAGTTTCTATTATTATTATTAATATTATTATTATTATTATTATTATTCCCTTCTCTCACTCTCTCTATCCCCCCTCTCTCTCTCTCCCCTTTCCTCCTTTTCAATCTACCGATTTTAAATATCTGGCATTAGTATAATATTAGATAAGATAAAAATTAGTAGATTATTACTTTTCTAGTGATATGATCCTTACTAGGAGCTCCACGGCCACTGCCTTGTGTCAGAATAGACTGTTTGGAAAATACATTTCGACTGAGTTATGTACTATTATTTGTAGCTGAGATAGTTTTGTATTTGCCACTAGTGCTAAACGTTGGTGTTCGATATAAGGTAACAGCCAGGATTTTGAATGCTGATTTTCAAGTAGATCCTCTTCGCGTAGAAGACTGGCGCAACACAATATCAGTGTAATTGGGACTTGTTTTAGCACGATATTTAATCTCGTAGACGATTCTTATTGAGTTCAACTCTCACTAGGTGCCCGGGAATATACTTCGAACTTATGCATATTTTGAGTAGAGTGGTGTGTGAAATAAAATCTGATTTAATGAAGAAAAAATCTGATTTAAACGAAGATAAAGAGATAGCGAGAGAGAAAATGAAAAAAAAAAAAAAAGAGAAAAGGCTATAAAAGTGAAAATAAAAGCAAAAGAAAGAAAGAAAGAATGAATGAATGAAAAGAAAGAAATAAAAAGAAAGAAATGGAATAAATGAAAACGTAGAAAAAGGGAAGACAAAAAGAAAAGAGCAAAAGTGTAAGAAAAAAAGAAAGAAAGAAAGAAAGAAAGAAAGAAATGAAGAAAGCAAGAAAGGAAGGAAGGAAGGAAGGAAGGAAGGAAGGAAGGAAGGGAGGAAAAAAGAAAGAAGTAAAAGGGCAATAAAGAAAGAACAAAAAGAAAAGGAAAATAGAAAGAAACAAACAAACAAAAGGAAAAATAGAAAGAAGGAAAAATTGTTGAAGATACCGAGGACGTCTTTTTAAAACTTAATGAAAGAGAAATTGCGCCTTTTGTAATTGTTCTGAGATTGGAATTATTGAAGAAGAAACAAACGGAAATATTCATTGAAGTACAATTTTTTGGTAAGCAAAGCAAACACAATTTCCCTTAAAATCCAACAGCAGCAGCCGCGGCGGCGGCGGCGGCGGCGGCGGCACCAGCAATAAATGGTGCATTGCTCAAAAGTACTATTATAGGATGATTGTCCCTGTCAAGTGCGGTCGCTGTTCAGATAAAAACAAAATAAAACAGTAACACTCTTCCTGATACAAATGGCGAGGCAGAAGTAATAGGGACGTTAATAATATTACTTAATAAAAAAAAATCTTTAGTTAATTGAATTTTTTTCTTTTGTGTGTGTGTGTATTTTCAAATAATCCTTCAGCTAATTTACATGGATATGAAAATATTTTCTTTTTTTAAACATTTAAATTTTAAAAAAAGCAGAAAATAACATTGAAACATGTAAACGTTTCAGATAATGTTTCATTTCTATTAAGGAGAGACAGTGGCCGTCATTATTTCCATATGTCGAAGATAAGATAATTGTGTTTTTAGAATGTTTAATATGCTTTTAACTTTGACAAGTCACTTATCTTTTATTAGGTTGAATAATAAATAATTTCCGTTTTTGTTTATCAATTTTATGCTTCAAAAAATAAACTACAATTACATTTGATTCAATTATATATTCATCATTATGTAGTTTTATGTGTAAGCTTCATTCGTATATACATGTAAGTGTATGCAGAGTATGTTATATCTTTTTGTTATGGGATCTTACCAATAATAATAACTAGCAGTAGAGCCCGGCGTTGCCCGGGGATGTAACAGTAAGAGATAGATCAAGTATCGACCATCATAAAGACTGAAAAATCAAATTGACAAAGATTATTGTTTAATGTTGATGGACACGCATGTCTTAATTAGTTTTTTTTTTTTTTTTACGAATTGGTCAAACCCAAATTCAAACAAAAACATTGTTTACAATCGTTATGAGTCTATCGATTGGTGAATAGAATTTTATTATAAACAATTGTCTTGTAAATGGAATTTTTAAAGCATTCTGAATGTAAATAAAGAAAAAAGTGTGCAAGACAATAAGAAATACTACCTGCCGAAAAAAAAGTGGATGTTTGTTTTATCGGCTGAAAAATGTAAGAAATCCGATACCATATATAAAGGAACACACACACACACACACACACACACACACACACGCACACATAAACAACCTGGGTTTTTTAACCTAAGTCACTCCACGGAATCGCTAAAATATAGAGCATAGTCTGATGAAAAAGACGCCAAAGTTTATGAAAACAAAACTTATGTTTTTATGAAGGGGATAGACTAAATTTTTTTTTAATTATTTTTAAAAATTTTTTCCATCTTTTTAGAATATTCTAAATTTTGATTTAAAAAACCTTGTTTCTCTTTGTCACAACAAGGGGTAGTAAATAACATAGATAATTTTTAGCGCGTTTTTTTTGTATTTACACACATTAATTTGGAAAATCTTGCAAAAATAAAAATAATTGTCAGATGTTAATGAAACTTTCAGAAACTATTCACAGATGATCGAAATTATTATAAATGTGTTTTTTTTTATTAAAGTCATGGCAGAAATATTTTTTTGTATATTTATTAACACCCCCATAACTAATTTTATGAAAAACTCTAGAAATTCGAGACCATCGGTTTTAGTGATTACAATAGTTAAAAGCACAAGGCTTTGAAGAATGCAAATCATGTTTTTTTTGGGGTTTTTTGGCCAACGTACCTGAAAATCAGCTGTGAATTGTAACATACACAACTCAATAAAACAAATATAGTATTTAGTTTCAAATGCTTTTATTTGTTTTTATGAATATGGACAATATTTTCTGAAAGCAAAAAATTTTTTCAATGAAAATTGAATTTTTAATACAATTATTTCTTATTTCTTTAATTTTAAAAAGATTTTTAAAAAATGTTTAAATTGAATTTTAAAAAATATTTTAACATTAGTTAAAAGCAACATCAACCTTTCAAAATGTCCGTGTCATTGTCTAGCGCTTTGAAAATTGTATAATTTGGACCAATCAGATTAGCCATGGTAATTAAGAAATGTAATTTTTGTGTTTATAGTCGGACAGTAATTATCAAGTACGGAAGACCAACCAGAATACAATTTAGTTGCATTATTTGAGTTCAGCATTGTTCTCGGCTGTTAAGCCCTTTACTTTTGCGAAACACGTATGGAGAAGTTAATTTGAGTTTTCAGTTTCAACTGAGAAGGGTACCTACAAGTAACAGTATCATCTTATGAAATTTAACTACTGCTAAACTTTAATTTATATGATCTTATTTTTATATTAATCTCAGTTATGACATTTTTCCATAAATGAAATATCAAAATTAATAATAAAATGAATGGAAATACAAATAACACAGTAAAATGTAATAAATGTACATAAAATTATAGTATTTTATGTTCACTTCTGATAAAATTTCATAAGAAAGGTACCTAAATTAATTAGATACCTTTTTCTTATGAAATTTGATCTCACTATTAACAGTCTTATTTTTTAATTTCTTTATATTTTCCATAAAGCATCGTAAACGTAAAAATGAAAGCTAATAAAATAAAAAATAAAAATTAGAGCGCTGAAAGTTTTCCTTAAAAGTAACAAGGTAAATAATTTGTTCACTTAAATAATTTCACTTCCTTCCATCCGTAGAAAGAATTCTCCTCCCGTAAGTTATCTAAACGTCATGAATGTATCTTTCGTCAATCGTCAAGCGACGCGAAAGGTTATGACCTGCTTTGTTTTATTTTCAAATTACATTTTTTCGGCGCAGAAGCTAAGTTAAGCTTGGTTCAAAATATTTTAAATAAACAGTATAATTTCTGTTTTTATTAAAATCAGTTTTGAAAAAATGATAATTGATTTTTAAAAGAATATCAAAGTAAGATTTTAATCTTTTTTATCAAATCGAAAAAAAATGATTGATTATCTGCCCTTTTTTTTACCAAAAAAAAACAATATATTTAACGAAAATTTTAGACGTGCTAGGAACGATTAAAAAATGTAAAAAATACCCCAAAATACTTTTGATCTTTCCTCTTTAATAATAATATGAACATTAGACGATAAAATTTTGTTTTCGTCAAGTTCGGCTTTTTTTTTCATCATGCTATGCTCTTTTGTTTACATTTTCGTGGGTGAGTTGTCCCCTTTCATTCTCACGATGTGTCTTAATCGTGTTTTCAAATTGATTTTATTAAAAACAACTGTATTTTTCCCATTTTCGGCCCCATTAGAACCACCACAAGGTAATTTTATGTAGTCCTGTGAAGTTTTGTTGAAATCGGCTAAAAATGTAGGAAATTCGATCCAACATATAAACGTTACAGACACACACACACACACACACACACACACACACACACACACACACACACACACACACACACACACACAATCTGCGTTTTATAATAAGTAAGATAATAATAATAATAATGGACTATTCCATACTTAATAAATACTGCGCCTCAGAAGTAGGCAAGAAGTCAGTCAGTAGTTTAAAGAGTCAGTAGTTCAAGTCGAGTCAAGAGTCGAGTCAGAGGCAGTCCGAAACAGAGTCGCGTTCAGACAATTACTGCAAGACATTGGAATAGTGATACTGGTCGAGATTACATTGTTCTCTCTAACACTTCTACTTCTCTGTATATATTCCTGTTTGTAATATATCTGTGTTATTCCATACCTGTGTTCGAGTTCTTCTTTATTGGTTCTACCTTGGGCTATCACCGTGGAACAAGGAACCGGATCATAACACTTTTGTAAACTATTGAAAAAAATAATACCTATGCGCATGCAAAGTATAGAATTCGTAATTTTTTAGTTCATTAGTCTTTGGCTTGTTCCTGGGTAATACAACAGTTACACCTCTTGTCATTTCAGTAGGCGTCTCTACTCCAAGTCTTGCCCCTACATCAAGGTTCAAGAATCTTTCTTTCATTCTCCTCTTCTGTCATCGTGCATCACCACTGAACTCACTACAGTTGCCTCCTCTTTTCCTCCTTAATTTATAAACTACTACCAACAAGATTAATATAATTGTTAACCAAACAAGAATGACCAGGCCACATATATTAATTCCCAAACCATTCGAGGGTGATCCTGTTTTTAGTTACTACCCTCAGTCTTCTCATGAGTTGGTTCAAGTCAACTTTTTCTACAGGTACCAACAACTTAGGGATATCATGTTAATCTAAGAGAATTCTTTGATTAGTGGTTCCCATATTATCAGTCTTTTATTCACCGTTATTTGCAGCGTTCTGGGTACGACAATAAACTACATTCGCGTCCTGGGTAAGACGATAAACTACGTCCAGCAGCAAGGCCTCTGATCAGGAGGTTTTGAGGAGCGTGGAACCACCTCTTATTTGCTGGTGTTCCCAGGTCCACCCTGACCCGGGATGGTAGCACCTGTTAGGGTCCCAGCTAGGGGCAAATAATTAACCCCGAAACTGGGCTCAAAACACTATGAAAGTGTAAAAATAGGTTTTAATACCAGAAATACTTTGTAAAAAATTATTACCAGCAATACATTTTTGAAAAAAAAAAAAAATTACCAGCAATACATTATTGAAAAAAAAAATTACCAGCAATACATTTTTGGGAAAATTTTTTTACCAGCAATACAGTTTTGAAAGAAAAATTTATTACCAGAAATAGATTTTTGACAAAATGAAATATTACCAGCAAAAAAAAAAAAAAAAAAAAAATTGTCGGCATTAAATAACCCATTGAGGTTGATATGCCGTAAAATAAATCAAGCCAACCCATTATTTGCAATAAACTATTTCCATGGCTGGTGTAAGGGTCTCGTGGGCCCCACCGAATCTATGAGATGGAGAGCCCCCCTCAAACACACACACTCTACAACATCTCAATTTTCATAAGATAGTATTCATATAAAATACAAATTTTATTGTAACCTGATTATGTTCAATACTGGATCATATGCAATATAAGTGAACAATTCAAGTAAAAAATTGAAAATAAATCAATGTATCTAAATACAAATTAGTGACATGTCATAATAGATCATTCCATCTTAAATAAATCAACGATGTTTTGTGGTAATTTTTAACATCAAGTTGAGATTTTTCTTGTTAAAAGGCTGA